GCTGGCCTGGAACTCAAGAATTCACTTTGTAACCAGGCTAGCCTCAAACTCACAGACGTCCACCTTTGTATGCCTCCTGATGCTGGGATTGAAGGTGTGTGCTACCACACCTAGCATGGGTAGGTGTTTTGCTGAGTTTTTGCTTAAGCACATAAATGTCTTCTCAAAATAACTTATCAAGTAAAACTGAGGATATTTTGGAAGAAAAAATATATTTATTTTTCTGAATGTTTGAAAGGGCACTCAGAGTCCTTCATCAAAGAGCTAAGTTTTCATCATTTGGACACTGGCTGTAAATTGGTTTAGACATACCTCTGATCTCTCTGTGGCAGCCTACCCAAGGAATAGATGTATTGGGCTCAGAATTAATTTTTTGGACATATCTCAGAGAAAATTCTCTGCAGTTTGGGGCTGGGGAGATGGTTCAGCCAGGAAAGTGCCTGCTGTGGAAGCATGAGGACCCGAGTGTGGATCTCCAGTACCGTGTAAGAAGCTGGGCTTGGCAGCACATGCCTGTGACCCTAGCTCTGGGTGGGTGGAGACAGGAGGCTCCCTGGGGCTCTCTGGCCAGCCAGCCTCGCTAATCAGTGAGCTCCACATTCAGTGAAAGACCCTGTCTCAAGAAGTTGACACTGCAATAGCCTCTGACACTCATCTTCTCTGTCTCTATCTCTCTCTGTTGCTCTGTCTCTCCCTGTCTCTCTGTCTCCGTCTCTGTCTCTCTCTCTCTGCATACATGTGTGTATACAACTAAACTATCACAGAGTTTGAGTTTCTAGGCTTAAAGTTTATCAAGTGTGCTTTATGAATAAAGTCTCAGTGCAAACTTGAAGCTTGACTCAAATGGCATGCTCTGGTCACATTCTAGATCACTTTTTGTGTATGATCAATACTGCTCTGGTTTTGTGTCACTGTCATATGTCTATATGTTTAACGACATAGAGTAACACAAATTTACCATGTTAGGTTCTGTAGATGATTTAGATCCATAGCTCTCAAGTCCAAAACGGGTCTCATTTGGCTAAAAACAGGGTGTTAGGAAGGCTGTGTTCTTTCTGCAGGCTCTAATGGAGAACTCCTTGGTTTTCTGGGAAATGAACTCTTTGGCTGATTGTCCCTTCATTCATCGTGAAAGTCAACTGTGTAGCACCATCAGATCTCTCTCTGACACTGACTCTCCAATCTTCCCTACCATGTTTAGAGGATCCTAGTACCACACTGGACCTCCAGGATAAGGCAGGATAATCCCTTTATGATCTTCTAATTAGCATCTTCTGGTCTATTCACAGCACTGAATCTTTCATATAATGCAACATTTTTGGTTTCTGAGGATACATTGTGGACATTATGGAGAACTCTTATTTTGTCCATGACAAATTTTATTAACATGTTGCATTAGTGAAGATTCTCTGGAGTAATAGAATTTATAGAATAAATCTCTCTATATATATAGAAAGGGGATTTATTAGAATGATTTATATATAGGCTGTGGTCCATATACAAATTCAACAATGGCTGCCTATGAATGGAAGTTCCAAGAACTCAGTAGTTCTTCATTCCATGAGGTTGGATGTCTCAGCTGGTGCCCAGTATACACTGGAATCCAGAAGAAGTAGGCTCTAATGCTAGTGAAGGAATGGACCTGCCATTGAGAGCAAGTAGGCAGAGTGAGACTTCCTTCTTCCATGTCCTTTATATAGGCTTCCATCAGAGGGTATGGTCCGGGTTAGTGTGGGTCTTCCCTCCTCAAAAGATCTGGATTAAAGGTGTACCTTCCTACCGCAAAGATCTGTATTTAGAAGTGGATCTTCCCACTTCAAATGATTTAATTAAACAAAAATCTCTCACAGGTATACACAGCCATTTTTGGTTTTAGTTACTTTCAAATGTAGTCAGGTTGACCACCAAAATAGTCATCACACATGCCTTTACGCCCAGTAAAATTTGTACACATTAAATATTCATTGCTTTTTGTATGCATGCACATGTGTGTGTGGGAACTTAGGCACGTGTGTGTGCTTGCATGTGAAATCCAAAGGTTGCCATCAGGTGTCTTCCTCAGTCATCCTCAACCTGATTTTTGAGACAGGGTCTCTCAGTAAACCTCAAGCTCATTGGTTAGGCTAGCCTGCATGGCCGGCAAGCCACAGGGCTGCTGGGATTGCAGTCACACAATCCTCACGTTCCGTTTTCATCTGGGTGGTGGGGATTGAACTCAGGTCTTCTTGCTTGCATGCCAGTCACTCTCCCAACACGATCATCTCTCTCCCATTTGCTGCTATTTTAAACTTTTTTTTAAACGAAGGAGGAATGTTTAGTTGGAATTAATTTGGAATTAGATACATAGAAGCACCGGCATGTCGTTTGTCAATGGTTGGAATGCCACTTGTGTGCCACTCTGTCAGGCATTTTCCCATGGGTTCTGGGGAAGGCACCCTGGTGTTCATGCTTGCGAGTGCATTGTTACAGAGCCACGCCCTCAGCCCCTTATTACGTAGTGTTCAATAATTGCTAACCTAGTTCTAAAATGGGGGCTCAGATGTGCATTTCATAAACCACAACACACGTTTCCTTCTTCGGGCTCTTTGTTTTGGTTTTGGTTTTGGTTTTTCAAGACAAGTTTTCTCTGTGTAGCCCTGGCTGTCCTGGAACTCCCTCTGTAGACCAGGCTGGCCCCCAACTCAGAGATCTGCCTGCCTCTGCCTCCCAAGTGCTGGAATTAAAGGCATGTGCCAGCATGCCTAGCTTAATATTTATTTATTTTATGTGTATGTATGTTTTACTCACCTGTATGTCTGTGTACAACATGCATGCCTGGTGCCCATGGAGGTCAGAAGAGGACATTGGATACCCTAGAACAGGAGTTATGGATGACTGTGAACTAGTATGTGGGTGCTGAGAACAGAACCTGGGTCTTCTGCAAGGTCAAATGCTTCTCAGCCACTGAGAAATCTCTTCAATCCTCATAACACACATCTTTTCAGTATACATTAAGTCTTAGGAACTAAAGTATGTGCAGCCCTAACTGGGCCATGGAATTTGAGCTAGCAAGACCATTTCTGGAGTAAAAGTATAAAAAGTATTTCTGTCGCTTTAAAGCACATGTGTTAAAGGGAATGTTAAGGGCTAGAGCAGTTAAGATCCCTAGTTGCTCTTGCAGAAGACCCAGGTCTCATTCCCAGAACCCACATGACAACTTCCAACTCTCTGTAACTCCAGTTCCAGAGGATCTGACACCTTCCCCTGGCCTCTGAGGGCACCAGGCATGCATGTGGTACACAGATATATATATATGTCTGCTGGAAAACACTCATACGCATAAAATAAAAATAAGTAAATCTTTTTTAATAAAGGGATTGTTTTTTTCTGTTCTCTTCCTTTTTGACAAACGCATGTCTGATTTTTGCAGCATGAATTGTTGATCCCCCACTCTCTGCTTTTAAATAAATGTCCTCAACTTTCTCAGTCTTTTGGTGTGAGAATTAGCACTCCTGTTCTCCCAAATTCAGTATGTCCAACAGTTTGGAAAAATAGCATCTTAAGTAGAATTCAGAGAACTATTGTTAGAAATGAAACACGTTTAAAATCTATTTATAAGTAAGGTATTGAAAACAATTTGTGTGGCTGTGGATGCTGGTGGGAGTAAATATACTGATGAATGATTAAAAAAAAAAAGAAAAAAGAAAAACACCAAGAAAAAAAACCAAACTGGCCACATCTATAAAGCAAGATTTCATTATCTTTTCCGGCCTACTCAAGAGGAACCCTGCTACTTAGCCATAAACAGCTTTGAGAATGAGAAGGCTGTGTGCTCTTGTACCTGATCCAGATGGCAATTTGACAGCTCAGGGACTTGAAAGAACTAGCCAGATGGATGGACCTTAGGAATGAATGCATGAAGTAAAGTGGTCAGTGTTACTTTCAAGGTGTAATAATGGCATAGAAGGAAACTAGAAGTACAAATGGTCTCAGCACAGGCTGCTTCCTAAATGAGGGAAGGTGGGTGCTAAGTGAGGGTGTGGCCAAGAGTTTCTGAATAAAGCATCATTTGGTTGGCTATTGTCTTCAGTCTCCCGTGGGTTTTAGTCTAACACTCTGTGTCTTTGGGATTGTTTTTGTGAATGAGAGGCAATGGTGATCATAAAGCGGGATGGCCCATCCAAACCAGGGAACACAGGCAGTCAAGTGGGCGGGCAGCCAGGCGGAGACAGCACAACCGGGGTTCACATCCTGAGGAAAGGGGAGTAGGTGGGAGAGGATGGAACATTATGTGACTGTAGATTCCAAATTCAGGGATGTAGGTGGGGTTGGGCTTGAACTCCCTGCCTGTCCGTGTGAGTTAAAACCGAAGCTTGGCCTGCTAGTGGTGTTCTGAGCTGTGCAGCCCCACAGGATACCCTGCTGTCTCTGGAGGGTCTGTAAATATGAAGCTGCTTCAGGTTCTCATTATTCTGCTGTTTGTGGTACTTGCAGGTAACGTGTCCAAGTCACTCAAAGTCGGGCACACTAGTGCTGGTCACAACGGGGGCGGGATGCTGCTGCAGTGAGGTGAGCAGCACACAGTGAAAGCCTTTCTTCATCATTAAGTAGCTAATTAACTGAGAAAATGACCCCCTTCGAACCTTAATTTTTCTGTTCTGGCAAGTGAGGGTAACATCTCTAGCTCAGATGCAAAGACGTGAAGCCTTGAAGCCTCCCACTCACAGATCGGAGGAAGTTGGGCATCAAGGGCCCCCTTCTGCCTTGCCTGCAAGGAGTCATGCTGGGTTTTTCATGGCCCTCAAAATACAGCTCTCTCATCCTCAAGGGTGTTTCTCATAATGAAATTTGAGAACAGGGAGAATACAGTTGTTGTCCACATTTATTCTGTAGGCTTGTCTGATTCTGTGTAGAGAGGGAAGTGAAGGCTTGGATGGAGAGATTGGGACCTTAGAGCATGAACAGGGGAGAGTTGGGATCTCCAGGGGCAAAGGTATCTATCAAACTGTGGTTGCTTACTACTAGGTAAGACGTTTATCTGACTTGGAGAAGAAAGTGAGAGAGACGACAGCCAGGTTCTAGAATTTGTCTGAGATGAGCAGAGGGAGTTCTCGGGAGCAACTGGGGCTGGAACTCATGTCTTGACAAGGGTGATATCTGCAGCCTATGAGTGTGAAACACTAAGGGCCTGTCTGTGAGGCTATGTATGTGTGTGTGTATGTAAGAGAGAGAGAGAGAGAGAGAGAGAGAGAGAGAGAGAGAGAGAG